GTTAAACGCTACGGACATCGAACTTCAGTGTATGTTACCAGTGTCCATCGCGACTGACTGTCCCGAAAGCCTCTGTCAAATCTACGAAAGTATATTCGGGCCTGAACTGCAGTTCATGGCACTTTCCTCGTAGTTTACAGGCGGTGAAGAACATGTTAATAGTTCAGCGTCTTTCTTGAAATGAATATTGACTCGCAGAGGAAATTTCCATGCTCCGGGCGAAAGTTTAGGTGAGTGAGTAGAACACGGGTCAAAAAGCGTCTGTGATTTTAAGGAGTAGAATGCCTCTGTGTTTGTCACAGAATTGCTGGCTTCCCTTTCGCTTGTACACGTGGATTATGATGAGGATAATGATGATGGCGTTCTTGAAGTTCTGAGGGCATTGTCGTTGTCTCCAAATCTGATGGAATTGTGAGGTGCGTTTTTCCATCAGCGCATACACGCTTTGAAGCAGTGCGCTATTAGTTGCCGTGGTGACGTTATACGCGTGGGCAACTACGCCGCGCACACAAACGCCTAGTGGGAATACCTGAGTGCTCTACTGGAGTGGGGGGAGGGAACGAGACAGAGAGATAGCCCACAATAAACTTTATAGGTTAAAATGTAGGAGGCACCTTGATCACCCAAAAGGGACATAATCCAAATATAGTAAATCAGCCGCTACTTTGATCAAATCGCAAAACTTTCTTTTATATTCCCTTCATCATCCCCGGAAGAGGATGGCAAAATGGTGGTGTTTTTCGCCAACTAAGGAGGCAATATACTAGCCAATTAAGTTTCCTGGACTGAACTTGCGAACACCCTCAACAATCTTCTGATAGGATTCGTATGGAAGAGTTGAAATGGACCAAAAAAAAGAGGGGAACAGAAGGAGACAAGCTCGAACGCCACAGGAGGTCGGGGCAGAATTTATTATCATCGAGGAATACCGATGGTCCACAGTAAATAAGAGAGAGAAAAGAAACCAGGAGCCATATGCGTCACTTTAGTATAACTGTATATAAGCGGTTTTCACGGTCACTCACAATCCTTGCAGACATAACTGCATATACATTCAATGACTCGTGAATAATTATATCGCTATTCCCACGTACTTATTATTCATGAGTATATGCTGTTGTACCGAATACCGGCCGAGATTTTTGGTGTCAAGCACACTGTCTCCAGGTGGGTGATATCCGGTCATCACTTCATTCCTGTCTGCGGCATACCTCCTCACACACAAAAAACTCCACAAGGCAAGACAATTCTAGAGTATTAAAGTAAGTCTTCACCTTTCTTCGCTAGAGCGCAGGCTTCCGTAAGGAGAGTCAGTTTGTGATCGCAGGCCTTCTGATCCATATTCGGTTCATTGAACTCTGCTAGGCATAGCAGAGACTCTGATAGTTTTTCAGCTGCAGTAATGTGAAGATAAGGTAGGTTTTCGGGCGACGCGGAGGCATTTACCTGCCC